CACCAATAGGCTGGATCACTGGACACCATCCTCCCAAACAGACGCCAAGCTGTCCTCTCTGTGAGTCTCATACATCCCTCACTCTTCCACCAGCACCGAACGGTTGCTCACCTGTAATCTAACCTCTTCCAGCCGTATCCTGACAACCCTGCCTGCCGGACTCCTCTCTGTACTTCCACAAACCTTCAATAAAACCTTTAACAGATCATTGCCTCCGTGATTGCTCCTATTCAGAGTCTGAAAACCTAAACATGACACTGATGTACTATCAATTATGCCTTACACACAGATCAGTAAAATCTTCTAAAAAAAAAAAACGTTCTTTGTTCTTTGGAATGTTTTTGGCTTTATTTCTGAGAATTTCCCCCTTTTTGTTACCGTTGTTCAGGGGTCAAAGTAGATTTAAATTCACAGGGTTTTGATATAAAAAAGAAATACAGAGAGAACCTACATAATTGCCCTGAAATGCCATGGTAATCCAGACCTACATATGTTTATCAAAATATATTCAAAGGAAACATGTTTTAATGACAATAAAAGAAAACATTTACATCATATTTAAATAGATAGAAACGAGAACTATGAGAAAGAAATATACTGTGGGTTTGGAACATGCTCCACAGACTGGAGCATGTTCCAAAGCTTTCATGGTGATGACATCAACAGCCTGACTGAATGTATCACTGACTACAGGACTTTCTGTGTGGAAAGAACTGTGCCCACACAACGGCTACTAAGCTTTCCAAAAAACCACCCCTGGGTGATCCCTGAGTTGAAAGTCTTCCTGAACCAGAAAAAAGGGCTTTTAACTCAGGGGACAGAGAAGAGCAGCGTAGAGTTCAACAAGAACTCCAGTGGAGGTTCAGAGCGGCAAAGGAGGACTATGGGAGGAAAATGGAGCAACAACTGGCATAAAACAACATCAGAGATGTGTGGAAAGGTCTCAAGAAATCTCCGGCTTTGGGCAGAGGACCACCATTAGCAGGGCTGCAGACAGAGACACAGAGTTTGCAGACGAGTTAAACCTAGTTTGACTCCCCTCACACTACCCGCTCCCTTTCCTCAACTCTCAACACGTCTCCGACTGCCAGGCCACCAGAGACCTACCCTCCCCCCCATCACAGTCACTTCAAGGCAGGTGAGAGGCCAGCTGAATAGACTAAAACAGAGGAAAGCTTCTGGACAAGACGGCATCCCTGCAAGGTTGCTGAGGAACTGTGTTAATGAACTCTGCAAGCTCTCCTCAGCTACATCTACAACCTGAGCCTCAGCCTGGGGATGTTCCCCACTCTCTGGAAGACCTCCTGTGTGGTACTGGTTGCCAAAACATGCCACACGCAAAGGAACTGGCCCACTTTAGACCAGTCATCCTGATATCGAACCTGATGAAGACCATGGAGCTCCTCATCCTAGCTCATCTACGCACCATGGTGTGCCCTATCCTGGACTCGCTGCAGTTTGCTTATTGACCTGACATTGGAGTGGAGGATACCATCATCTACTGCTGCAGTGGGCACACACCCGCCTGGAGACCACCAGGAGTGCAGTGAGAGTTATGTTCTTTGACTTTTCCAGCGCTTTCAACAGTATCAGACGAGAGCTTCTGAGGGGGAAGCTGAAGGATGCTGGAGTGGGCAGACATCTTGCTGTCTGGACCATCAACTACCTCACAGAACACCCTCAGTACGGTGAGGGCCATGCTTGCACGGCTGACAGTCACAGGGGGCAGTCTGCAGTTCCCTCGGCCCCCCAGGGCACCATTCAGTCTCCACTCCTCTTCACCTACAACACGGACAGATGCCATCTCCAGAATTTCTCCAATGACTTGGCCATTGTAGGCTGTGTCTTTGAGGGGAACAAGCTGCAGTATTAATGGGTCATTATGAACTTTGCGGACTGGTGTGAAAAGAACCACCTGTGTCTTAACACCAGTAAGACCAAGAAGATAGTGATCGAGTTCAGGAGAAGACCCCCACCTCAACCCCCCCATGAACATCCAGAGGAAAGACATAGAAACTGCGGAGAGTTTTAAATACCTGGGTGTTCACGTCAATATTAAAGGGCCAGATCCGCCTCCACCTCCTGAGGAGGCTGAGATCCTTTGGAGTGAGCAGGCCACTACTTAAAACCTTCTATTACTCTATGGTCACATCAGCCCTCCTCCACACTGTTTTCTGTTGGGCCCCTGGCTACGCAGAGTGGGACAGAAAGAGACTGAAAAAACTGGTGAGAACGGCCATTTCTGTCTTAAGCTATGCTCTGGCGGAGGTGGAGGAAGTGGCTGAGAGAATGGTGCTGTCCAAGCTTACATCCATCATGGACAACATATTCCACTCTCTGCACCAGGCTGTAGAGGAGCTGAGCAGCTCCTTTAAGGGAGGACTTTTAAACCCTGTTTGTTAAAAGGAGCGTTACTGCAGGTCATTCATCCCTACACCCACCAGACTCTACAATGCGACACTACAACAGCAGTAACTTGTGCAATGTATATTGTGCAATTACTATTTAATACCTTGTGCAATAACCTGTTTCTTTATATGTGATACCCAGTGCAATGACTATATATATATATATATATATATATACATCACTATAAATACCCATGTAAACACCCTGTGCAATAACCCTGTATAAAAATCCTATTTTAAAAAAAGACTTCAGCTGTATATACCACAATACCATCAATAAATTCAATAAATCTATCAATCAGCCAAGGAAAAGAGAAAGAAAACAATGCCAGGATTTAAATCTTCTTGTTGCAAAGCAAAAGTTCTACAAACTATACAATGCCACCATACAGTTCTCACACCATAAAGTTAATCCGGCTGCAGTCTGCAATCTACCTGTAAGATGTCGCTGAAAATGACACAATGTAGCTTAAATAAAAGCACAGCGCGTCTTTATTTATAAACAAAAAGCCACTTTGGACTGCAGTCATCATGATGTCAACTCTAAAGCAGTCAAAAAAGGGTCTTTTTTCCGTGCAAAAACTTAACCGAGCTAGCTATTTTCTTTTCAGCCTTGTTGATTCTCACTGAGATGTTTCTAAAATACTCAAGTGATTTTATGCTCTACTGATGGAAATGCCGGCAGCCAAAACCAGACAGGTCTCTAGAAGAGCTCCAATTGGAAGGCTTGCCTCAGAGGAAATAACTTCTACATGTATTTGCTCTGTTGCAGACAGGTTTCAGTTTCAGTCATTTCGAAATGCAGGGCTAGAGATGCAAGAGGAGGAAATTCTCTATGCTTCAGTGTTGTTCAAAAGTAAGAAACCACGGCAATCAAGACGTAAGTTAAAATTTTCTACTTTTTCATCAGAGAAAAAAATGATAACAGATTCTGTCGGCTGTTTTGTTTATTAGGTGACATACTGATATTTTCTAAATCATACAATATCAGTGGTGAGGGCATCAAATTTCAATAATGCAAACATAAACACAGTACAGTCTGTGTGGAGAGTGTGATCTCTTCTGCCATCTGCTCGGGCAACAGCATCTGAGCAAATTACCACCTACAAAAGACTTAGACTAAGACATTTATTGTCTACAGCGGGGTGTGAAGGTCATTGATAATGTTACAGGCCCGGGACATGCAGCGCTGGGATGAAATGTCTTTTATGGAGGGAAGAGGAGCCCTGATGATCTTCTCTGATGTTCTGACTACTCTTCTAATCTATGGCGCTGCAGCCTCCACACCACACAGCGAGACAGCTGGTCAGAACGCTCTCTATGGTGCTTCTGTAGAAGATGGTGAGGATGGGCAGGGGCAGGTGGGCTCTCCTCCTCCTCCACAAGGAGTACGTACTCTTTTGTGCCCTTTCAACAACAAGAGAAAGCCGGCTCTGTTCTAGAAAGTCCTCTAGAACCTCTGGAGATGATTTCACAAAGAGGAAATCTTCATAAAGTGAAGATTGTATGGACGACAGTGAGCAGCCTAAGATGCTTTTCCAGACCTGGTGCAAGACAGAGTGATACAACAACAACTATCAACACTTACAACAACTCGATGAGGAAAAAACAAAAACCTTATGAGTAACTGCAACATTTAATTGACTAACTTTTATTAGTTTATTTTTTTTATTTTTTATTGAAGGTCACAACCTTAGTCAAAATATTATCAGAAATCACTGAGTGAAAGTCTGGTTGCTCAGTCTGATGCTTTGTAAATAAACAGTGGTGATGTGCAGAATTTTGCCCCAATTTTCAGAATAGAAACTGCTTTAGAAAACATTTTGGAGCAAGACTCAATTCACAAACAACACAAGAGTATGGGCCATACTCTTGTGTTGTAGAGCGATGTGTATGAACCAACAGTGACAGGTGACAGCACAGATAATATAAACTGTTTGTATGCAGAGGATTAAAGCTGAAGGACTTAAAGACCAATAAGTATGATCGTTCCTGTTTATCCGGTTGATCATTGATATCAGTTTGTTGACTTTTAAGTTAAGATCAGATACGAAACCTTTTGTCATGCACTGTGTGAAACTAAGAATTGAGTGACAAACATCTTCCTCTTCGGAGACCAGAGGTTTTAAAATCGACTTAAATAGCATCACTATTCAAATTTAATCTTTCACAAACAATGGTTTAATGAACCCTTTAAAAGTTCTATGAATTAAATCACTGATTGACTGTTTTAATATAACCACCAAATAACAGAGCTTTGTGGCGTGACGCTTTTTCTATAAGATGGAAATGTAAATGAATTGTCTGGGTTTTAAAAAGCAGAAGTTCCAAACAACCAGAGCATAAAACTTATTCAGGAAATGCATACTTCTTCAAAAATGCTGTTTAGATCAGCATTGTGGTACATTTGCTGAATAGTCACACTCTTTAACGGTTGGACTGCAGGTATGGAAGAGGACGAGGTTCAGTACGCATCAGTGGTGATTAAAAGCAAGAGGCCGCCGAGAGGTACGTTTGTGTCGATGTTTTATAACACTCCTATGACTAACATTAAGCTGTCTGTCGATTTATATTAAAATAAAAGCTGTGGACTGAGAATTTCTCCAATACAGAACAACCCCCCCCCAAAAAAAAACGATTAGTGAGCTTTTATAAGCTGTTTGTGTCCGAAAACTGGGGGGAAAATGCTTAACAGAATGCAAAGGCAAAGGTTATTAATAATTAAATGTTTTTTGTTTTTGTTACGACTCATAATTTTATTTTATGTTACAATATAAGCAAAATGCACGAAGCCCAGGGCAGCATTGGTGTATCTAAAGTAAAACTTCTGCATGGAGATTTGACTATTGACCGTGATACCATCAACAGATGAAAATTAACAATCCTTAAATAGAAGTCTCCATATTATTGTTTTTAATTTAGTTGAAATATGTTGCAGACAGTTTCTCGGACCTAGGATTCTACTAAGACACTGATTAGGATGATTAAAAGTCTCCTGTAATGGTTGAATATGCTCCTTTTCGAACCTCTATGTTTGTTATGAAATGGACAACGGAATATAGTTTTGTATGTTTTTGCTATAAGACATAAAATCAGAGTGAATATGAATGAAATATTGTTTCTCTGGGAAGAAAGGATTTTGAAATTGTAGAATTCTTTCATGTTTATCCCAATCTAAGTTAGATTCCCTTTAAATTATTTTAATTATTGCTTGCTTTAGTTCTCCTTATTATATATATATATATAACTATATATATATAGATATATATATATAAAACTCTCCTGAATATGTCTTCATTTCCTTAATTTCCTCTTTCATCTGATGAAAATGAATGTTCTTTGTTATAGTTATTACTAATTCCTCCACTAAGCCCATAGAATAGTTGTCCAGATATGAGTCATCTCAGCATAAATAAGTCACTTTGTTAACAAGTCGTCTTTTTGGTAAATGCTCTAATATAGGCTCACAATAGAATACAAAAATGGGAAATGAAATCTACAGTTGATGAGGCAATAAATGGGTACTTTCAGACAATGGCAAGAATAAAAACTAAACTGAATATAAAAGCACACATTATTGTAAGCAAGTTTTACTTTCCCCTGAGCCACAAAACACATGTGGGCAAACTTCTATGACCCCTCAAGACAAACAGCATTACTCTTCTCCCTAGAACCTTGGAATAGGGCTATCCAAGGAGGCTGAGATATGAGTTAAATGAGAACACACCCTCTGGTAACTCAGGGGAACTAGTGCCCCGGTCCAAGAGCATTGTCCCCAACCACTATGCAATGCTGAAGAGGCGTGTCAGCCACAACAGCCCAACAACACCCACATGATTAAGGTAGTCAGGGCAGATCTCAGCACCCAAATCTTTGCTAATGCAGAGTTTTCTGACCACATAAGTGACTTCAGGCTGGTTGATGAACAAGCCCCAGGCGCCCAGTTTCGGCTTCCAGGATAGAAAGCATTGAAGAGATCCACAAAGTGTTTCTCCCGCTGTCTGACATGTCCTCGGTCAAGGCCACCAGCTTTCTAAAACTAAAAACACTGTTAGCGAAGCATTGCTGCCCTCTCTAAAGGCGACAGTTTGCCAGACTCGCTTTAAGGTCGACCAATAGTTTTTTCCATGGTCCTTATAAACTCCCTATAAAAAAGGTTTTGCTTCTAGAACCTTAAAGAGTCTGCATTCCATCATTTTCTTTCCTACTTTTTTCTGTATATATATTTATTTTTTATTCAGCTTTTTCTGTGTACAGTATGTTGCTTTCAATTTAAAATTATTGCTTGATACATAATAAAATGCAAAACTTTGTAGCTTTGTTTCCTGTGAGTCACGTCCCCTTTTTGCTTGTGGGTATCTTGATTACATTTCTGATTTATTTATTACATTTCTAATTTATTAGATTTATTACATTTCTAATTTATAAATTTAACAAAATCAACAAATAAACTTTTGAACATTTGCTTTTTCAGCTAAAATTGAGGAAGATGTTGTGTATTCTGAAGTGAAGATCCGAAATCAAACGGCTCCGCAAACACCTAACACAAATGGTAAGTTGTTCAAATGTAACAAGTTATTGCTTACAGTATCTATAAACTATGCTATTCCTATAACATTAAAACAAACTGGGACAATTAGTCATGAGTTAGTCAATTAGTCAATTAATCAAGCATGAGTTAATGCTCCTTCTAAGAGTTTGTGACTCTCTTTTTATCCCCTGTAGATTCTCTTCTTCTCATGTATGGTCCGGTTTCTGTGCACTCAAGTCTACTTTTGTCACTTAGAGGTTGGAACCAACCAGAGAAAGAAACTGAATTTTATTAGCAGGGCTCCCAACTTTTAATATGAGCATAGAGTGAGATTTTGAGTGATTAAAGCAACATCACTATTTAAATCATAACTAATTTGTTACATTTTCAAAAAAACTTTAAACATCTAATTTCCATTATTACTATTTTTTTTTCTAATTTTCTTTATATGAAAATTAACAGATTCTGTTGCCTAAATAATCCTCCGAAAGATTTTTGATACCACCAATTTCCTTTATGATCTGATACTGAGTAAACAGAAGTATGTCGATGGCAGCACCAATATAATACGTTTTTGCAAACACACCCAAAGTGAAAGAAACACATTTTAAATTGACCAGAAACCCGACTCACTGAAATAGATATAAGACTTTAACCAAAGCTGCCAAGGTTCAGAAAATTACAAGGCTAAGATCTTAGTGTGATAATGTCTTTGCTTTCTTAACATTGATGTATATATTAAGACTGATGTCCTCACCAGTGGAGGGGCCAGTATATTTTAATAGGGGAGGTGAAACTGATAGGCGCCAAAAACATCTTATAATCAATATAAGTATATGCAACATTTTCATACTGGAAAGTTTTTTAAACTCTATTCAGTGCTGAAATATGCTGCATAATACATGGAATCATTGTGGTGGTATCATAGTCAGCAGTTTAAATAAATTCACACCGGAAGCTTTCGAGTGAAAGAGCCGATCCTGTGACCTCACTGCAAACACCATCTAGAAATAAGTACAAAATTTCTTAAAATAAGTGTATTTACCCTTAATTTTAGCAGGCAAATAAGATGATGTGGCAATGAAATGACATGCCTACTCCTAAAATAAGATAATTAGATAATATTCACTTGAAATAAGACAAAGCAATTGTGTTTTTCTTATTCTAAATGTAAATTGTCTTATTCCATTGGCAAGGTGTCTCACTCCTCTCCTCAATTCAAGAAAAATTCACTTAATTTAAGCAAAAATGACTCATATAGAATTACAATTTTTGCAGCGCTGAAGGAGGCGCTTATCTTTTTCTCGAAGCTGCAGATTTAGTCCCTTTAGCTTCTCAAATATGTCACTTAGGTAGGTCTCACCAGGACATTCTTATGACTAAACATTTCCGAGACTTCATACTTTGCTCCTGCTCCAAAACCATTCATATCTGGTTTTGGTCGGGTTATTGAATCTGCACAGATTAAAAATTGCATTGACAGTAGTTTATAAAGCTGTATTTTAAATAAAACTCCTTGAATCACCATTAATGAAGCGTCTGTATTTTGGGCAGAATACCAACATCATATTGTCAATGAACTTATGCCATGACACACTGTAGAGTCTTAGAGGGAGATCAGTTGTATTTACGTTTACAATAACAGTACCAACAGAAAATGAATATTTCATAGCTACCCCTTTCATTAAGAAATAAAGCAATTTATCTTTAACAGAATGTATAGAATAAACACTCTTCCTCATTTAAGGGTGTTTATAGAATAAACACCCTAAAATGAGGAAGAGGGGGCCTTTAACCAAACAATAAGGGCTTAGACTATTTAAGGATGATATATTAATCAATTAGACTGCAGGAATATATTTATCTAGTATTAAGATAGCCTTTAGATTAATCCACCAAATTATTTGATGTTTGGTGTATCAATTTTTTTTTTTAATCACTGTAGGACTGAAGCTAAATTTCAATGCATAAATAATTTAAATACATAAATGTCTCTTTTTCACATTTGGCACTTGCCTCTGTTCCAGGCAATCTGATCATGTTACAAAGGTGTAAAATACAGGTGTGAACACATTTCAATGAAAAATATCTTTATAATAGCCTTTATATTTGAATATTTAGAACTAAAACATCCCTTTTAACAGCAGACTAAGACCTCAGCTCTGATGCATCTATAAGCCTGTTGCCTATTTTTCCTGAATATAGATCAGGTTCCCGCACTGTTCAGTGTTAGTGGCTTAAAACATGTAGATGTTAAATTAGTCGAAGCTATCAAACAATTGAAGAGTTATAGTCGAGAAGTATTTCGTCAAATCTCAGAAGTGACCAGCATCCAGCTCAAACTAAACACCAAATGTAACTTCATGAAAGGAAAAAAAAGTACAGTAAACCAAAGAAAAAAAACCAAGTCAAGTACTAATCACCAGCTGCGAGAATGAGGACATAATAGAGCTTCCTCTTCAGCAGTAGAGTCAATAATAGAATACAAACAGACAAAAAGGATGTGGCAACCAGTCAGACATTTGGATCATTGAGAATTAGCAGAGGGCAGACATAGTTGTCGATGTCTCAAATCATGGAAACATTGGAAGGAAAAAAGTAGGAGACATATCAAGAGCTCAGGGAAGAACGAGAAAAAGCCTGAAAGGTGAAGGCAATTGTACAATAAAAGGAAAAGGAAAAAACCCTATGAGTTATTGCAACATTTAATAGTCATGAAGAATTATTGAATTTTTTTTTAATATGAACAAACCACACATTTGTTACTGTCCTGGTGATCGTTTTTTTAGTGGTAGTTTTACTGTATTTCCCATTTAATCCTATATTTTAAAATTCAGCACCTGCTTTTTTTAAGTTGTTATGTCACCTGCCTGGGTCTAGGAGGTATAAGGGACCAACATAAATTTAGACAAGGAATCAAGGAGTCAAAAAAGGTATTTAAATAGGTTTATTCTACCATTTCTTTTAAATAAATAATGGTTAAGGCTTCAGGGCGAGCTCAGGACAAAATAAAAAACAAAACAAAACAACCCTAAAAGAAAAAGAAAAGTGGACTTACCTAACTCAGTTTAAAACCAAAATATACAAACCTACAATAGAACCTACCGAACAAGCACATAAACAGGAGAAAACTTGGGTTAAACAAAAAGGAAGCTCTCCTCTACAAAAACCATCTAAACAGGTTTACATGGCAGCAAATTAACAGATCATTAGACGCCACAACAACCACTGAGGTGTATGGTAGATAAATGGCCCAGAGGCCCTGAAGTACAGCTTCACAGGCCTTAAATAGTGTGCATGGGATCTTGATTGGGCTGAGACTCAGGAAGCAGCATCTACTGTAATCTTATAGGCGGAGCCTAAAAAAGAACAAGGTGTTACTTTGGTGCAAAATAGAAAAAGTTACATCCATCTTGGGGATGTAACAAAGTGCTGTACAAATGACACTTTCTAGTCTTGTAACTTGAAGCAAACTTGTAATCAAGATTTGTCATAATGAAACTTAATGTAATATATCTTCTGATTAGTCTCTGCAGGACTTGTTTCAGACAAGAAAGCTGAAAGAAGATATCGCCAGTATAAGAAGAATCTGTGTTGCTTCGGGAGTCTATGTTTAATTTTGGTGTTGGCCATTATTGGAATCTGTCTCTATTGTAAGTATGTAAATATGAGGAAGAGAAATCAAGGTTAATCTTAAACGGTAAAGGCCTGAATTATTGAACTTTGATTTGGAGAATCATGAACCAAAAATTTCATATTTTTATTTGGGTCATATTTCTTTAAATAAAACTTTAAGATGTTAGAAATTTCTGTTATTTTAAGTATATTGAAAAGCTTTCTAAGAAATATTTACAGTTCAGCTGTAGTATGAAGTTAATATATTTTCAAAAGTCTAACAAAATGTAAGTTTTTATGAACCATTTGTGAATTATGCATTTACGTATAACTATATTTTCACTATATGGTAAATAAGACATTGATGTTTTGCAGTTGTATTTCTTCAGAAGAGGGCTGAACAGGAGCTGAAACTGCTGAAAGATGAACAGACAATTCTACTGGGAGAAAATGACAACTTGAAACAAGAAAAAAACAATCTGACAAACCTTAATAACAAGCTGAGCTCTGATTTAAAAAATCTGACAAACCTTAACGACAAACTGAGCTCAGAATTTAACAACACGGTTCAGAACCTAACAAACCTTAACAACAAACTTAACAACAAGGTTCAGAACCTGACAAAACAAAATGCAAACCTGACACAAGAACTTTATCAAGTTAAGAAGGAAAATCAGGAGCTGGAGACAGAGAGCAAAAACCTCACAGAACAAATAAAAACAATGGAGAAAACTTGGAATGAGAAGAATGTTAGTCGAGCTCAGTGGAGCATTGATAATTACTGTCCAAGAGAAAACAACGGTATGTTCAGATCTCGTAATGTTGAAAGATTACCCTATATAATGATTATATTAGTCAGTCCTAATTTGTATTTGTTGATCGTTGCTTCAGAGAGAAAGTGTAAATCTTGTCCAGAAGGATGGTTGAACAAAAGTTCCAGCTGCTTTGCTATTAATAATGCTGAATCCAAGGACTGGAAAACCTGGGAAGAAGCACAGAAAGACTGCAGAGGAAAAGGTTCAGATCTGGCTGTTGTTGGTGATGAAGCAGAAAAGGTAAAGGCAGAGCTGCTAAACTGATTATGTGAACTAAAAGTACATTTTCTGTAAAAAAAAAAAAAAATGTGGATCATGTCAATGAAGCAAATATGTGATATTTTTATCTCACCCTCCACAGAAGTTTGTTAAACAAAAAAGTTGGACTGGTAAAGGTATTACGGGATACTGGATTGGCCTCAGAGCTGTAGACGGGAAATGGAAATGGATCAATGGAAGTGATCTGACCAATCAGTGAGAGACACATTATTTATTAAACTTATTATGAAATAGAAAAATCATCCATTATCTGACAAATATTTTCCCTTAGATCCTGGATAAAGAAACTTCCTAATGAAGCTACTGATCAATGTGTGACTTCTCACCAGAGCGATGAATGGAGCTCCAAGAGCTGTAATGAGAAAAACGCCTGGATCTGTGGGAAGAAGGCTATATCTGTTTAGAGATGAAATATTCAGATATCTGGAAGTTATTTTTAACACCCTTCAAGAAAATTAGAATCAGTGCATGTGTTAAACACGATTTTCATGTACAAATAAGGTAGTTATTACTTAGCAAGTGAAATTATTTTAGCTGTAAAACTGATTTACACTTTAACATGTATTTATTATTACTCTGAGGTAGATTCCAGAAAAGTATCTCCCTGCAGGTGATTCCCAATATTTATTGTTTTAACATATGCTTTTCTGTGGATTTAGTTTATGGACTAAAACCCACTACAGTAAAATATTCACAAAAAATGTAAAATAAAACAAAGTCTGCTGTAATTCCAGCTCCTGTTGGTAACCTTTTATGGTTAAACATTTTTGCCTAATAGGAGATGCTCCATTGCTCCTTTAAAAAGGCTGGAAATCACATTTATATGTGAAAGTGTGTAATGCTAAATATTTAAATGCATTTCATTTTATAATATTGTTATTTCAAACTAAACTAATGTGTTAAGTGACAGCTGATATCATGACCCCAGATATTATTCCTGAGCTACTCAGAGACAACCCTCATTATTATGTTTCATTAAACTTAACATATTAGTTATGTCGATACAGTCTGAACATTTAATATAGCTTTGAGTTTTAGGTCAAATAAATTATGTTGATGTATTTATCATTTCTCTGACCTTATTCATTCGCTATTTTGTATTTACTACAGGAATTATCAAACATAACATTAAAACACAAGAAAAAAAGAAAGGAGAGTCGAAAGATTTACGTTGAATTAAATTAGGCAAACAATTTCTCTAAATGCTTAGGAAGATATGCTGCATAATTAAAACAATATGGGGCCTTATTTAAAGCTTTTTAAGCAGAAAGACCCCAGGCCGGGAATCCAACCCGGAACCTTCTTGCTGCAAGGCAGCAGTGCTACCCACTGCAACACTGTGCAGCCCATAAAGAAGAACTGTTACAGAAAATCATACAGCTGGGAAGTTGTGTTTTTGATTTTGACTTTTAAGTTGGAGTTCACACATTTTCAATGCTTCTTATCTAATGTCAAACTGTAAGTATGTGTTTCTGTCAGGAATTAGCTTAGATGTGTCACAGCCTCATGTCAAATAGTCCTGCTGATGTTAAGTTAAATAAACATTTGTTAGGAAAAATAGTCAGAAAATGGAAACTCTTGCGCACTTACAATGTTTGAGATCAATTATTTTTTATTTTAAGCACTTTCACCGTAACAAACTTAAAGCTACAGTGTGTAATTTTCAGCGACATCTAACGTCCAGACTGCAGACCGCAGCAACATGAACATCTTCCCCCCCACCGCTTCTC